CTGCCTGTACGTCTGCTCTTCTACAGGGAGGTTAAAACCCAACACTCGCGACCTAACCTCCAGCCTGCAGTCCCTGCTCTGCTCTGGACTCTTGTGGTCACACTAACTGAACCCTAATGGGGGCCATTCACTGAGGGCAGGGTGGTCCTGAAATAGAACGAAGTTGAATCACACAACCCTGAGCTCCCTTCCACCCTGCATGCCTTTAGCAGGTGCACTGGGGTAGGGTGGGCCATGCAACCGACACAGCTGCAGACGAACACAGGACTGTGCTGCCACGTGGGAGCCATGTCCTCACTGCGAAGGAGGGACACATGTGGGAACTGGGGGAGGTTCAGAGGATCTGGGAGGGCAGCTGGACTTGGACCAATGTGAACCCCTGGTCTCTGGAGTGGGGTGTGCACTGCCCCGTGTGTGTACCTGCTCTAGAAGACATGGTGGGACTTAAAAAATAAAAACTGTAGACCTGGGAAGTATTTCTAAGCAAGTCACAAGAACCAGAATCTGTAAGTGAACAGATTAAAAATGTATTTGACAATTTAAAAATTTACGCAGGGGGGGAGGGAGCGGTATCAGAAACTGAGGAAGGGCAAAAAAACTAACTTCCTAGGTATGTAAACAACTGACACAAATCTATAAGAAGAGACTCATAATCCCACTCACTCCCCCAAAATAAGAAAATTAAAAGATAGGAAAAAATACTAATGGCTAATAAACCCAGAAAGATGCTAAACTTCACTCATAATTAAGGAAATACAAATCAGAACAACAAAAACATACCCTCTTAAACTACCAAATTGGAAAACACAAGTTTTATAACACAGATAATGAAAATGGTATGAAGAAGGGGCATTTTCACACACCACTGGATGGAGTATAAATTAACAGACCCTCCCTGGAGAACAATCTGACAATACCCACCCCCTTCTAAATTCATGTACATTCAGACCTAGCAACTCCATGTTGAGGGGCCGGGTCTGTGTGTGTCGGGGGGAGGGGCACTGTGCACTGAAGGACCTTCCGGAGCATCTCTGGTCACTAGATGCCTGCAGCACTGCCGCCTTTCCCCACAGCAGTGATAACCACAGTGCCCTCTGGGCGCAAAGTCGCCAATGTGCTCAGACACACATAGGAACATTTACTCGTGTGGTTCCGTTTGCATCGTGTCTACTACAGCAGAAAACAACCTATATATGTCTACGCAGAGAGACCTGCTGACCACGAGACCCGTGTCCACAAGTCACATCACGTGGCTGATAATCTACGTATGACGAGCAGGTTTAATGCAACCTTGCCTATAACAGCTGACTGAAGGAAAAAGGCACAGAATAACCGGGGTGCATGGAACGGAGTACAGGGGAGCCTGGGCACGCCCAGAGTGCCCTGTAAGAACTAGAGTCACGGGGCTTGGAGTCTCAACTGTTCCCAAACTACACATGGATTACTTAACAATAAGTTTTAAAAGATAAAAAATAAATGATTTTATATGAAAAATTAAAGGCATATAACAAATACACAAACCTACACAGAAAGTAGAAACTCAGTTTTCAAGATGCAAATTTTATAGATGTAATTTAAATTCTGTATGTTTCTGTCTTGGGGGAATTACACCAGTCATCTGTAATGACGCGGCGGGCAGACTTATAGGCGGCGTTTACATTCTCCTCCGCACTTTTTGCACTTTCCTAATTTTCTACAATAATAATCGGGGTAGGGTAGTATTTTTAAAGCAGAGCCTTTTTATAATTGAAACGAGGCCCTGCTCCCAGCAGCAGCAGCAGCACAGCCCTGTCATGCCGGGAACTCGGGGCTGCTTGCTCGGTTCCACTGCTCTGCAGCATCACGAACGCACCCTCGCCTCCCAGCGCCCAGTCAGGGGTCCAGGAGCATCTCCACAGGCAGGAAATCCACTCTTGGCCGCTACAGATTTCTACTAAAGTTAGTTTCTGTTGGGGGGGGGGGCCCTTCTCACAACACAGACAGATCTTGACCCTCCAAACACACTCCCCAGTAAGTGTCTCCACCCCACCTGACAGGGCAGAAACGAAATGTTCCATCAGCCAACCGGAGCCCAGCCAAGGCACATTGACATTCGCCCCCTGGAATCTAGGTGAAAGGCTGTGTAAACTGGTTTATGCCTCAGGTGCCCACGGAAGGGAGCCTTCTAAGCAGCAGTGAGCAAAGGGCAGCGGGAGAGTCACCTCCTCCTTCTCGTGCAGCATGATGTGGGCTTTGAGGCTGGCCACCCTGGAGAACTTCTTGTTGCACACAGGACAGGTCGGGTCCTCGCCATTGTGGGTGCATCTGTGCAGCGTCAGGTTGAATTCGACATTGAATGTCTGGGGGCACTGGTCACAGCGATGTGGCTGTTTGGAGAGAAATGTCAAGAAGCCACTGAAATAACAATCTTTCCACAGTAAACGTCACTCAAACATTAACAAGTACCATGATCTACAATCTTTCCAAGAAATTTCTGACGCCTCTGCTGGACCCCAAGTCAGTAAACCCCAATTCAACACATAAAGCTCCTTAGGGACTGACTCGGGGGAGGTGAGGACGACACCCGTCCAGGCAGGAAGGTCCTAATAGGAGTACTGCACCTCAGTGCGCCAGGGCGCAGGCTCTCCGACAATAAGTCGGCGCTACTTTCCCTCCTTTTCCAACCAAATCTACTGCTGTCAACAGTATCACTTAAAGTAAAAAAGAATCATAAAAATTCTATTATATTTTAACAGAGTTGCTTATCTCAGTCTAAAATGTTCCCCAAATGGAAGGTATTCTGCCACTTGCAAGCAAGAATAAAAAGTAACCACTGGCATTACCTCCCCCTGAAATAGCGATGCCCTAATCAGGACTAAGTATTTTCAGATTTTCACTTGTGGGTGGGGTGGGGTGGGGGGATGAAATGATGCCCGTGGGCACCGCTGTTAGCGTTATGTTATCACTCACGCTGACAGTAAAGGCAGTAAGGCGGAGCTGGTCCCACCCTGGGCTGCAGAGAAGAGAGCCGGTATTTGGGGTCTCACAGGGTTGGCTAGTTCACATTGTCCTACCTAGAGGAAAGTTGCAGCCACTTTTTTAATTGCAGTCTTAACTGCCGCTTTCCGTCTATCAGGAAGACACTAACATTCCTGTCAAATCCCACAGGGTGCCCAGCAAGAAAGCATCCCAATTTCTATGTGAGAGAGCACACTCCCTGCTGAAGAGCCATCTAACCTAACCGAACACCAGTTTACAATGAAGCCACTCACAGGTAACACCCTGTGGAGAAAAGCGCATCAGCATGTACTAATTCTGTACTCCCAGGGAAACAGAGGCTACAGGAGAAAGGCATGTTTTAAGAATGTGTTTGTCCACACCCTTCAATAACTTCAATACACAGGCGCGCAAGACAATCTCTCCCCTTCCCTCCTGATCTCTTAATGGCTAGGAATACAACTACAGCTAAAAACAAAAATATGTATTTATATAACATAAAACGCTCCACAATTCAGGAGTCTAAATTATGAAAAACAATTTCAACTCACAGGTGGATGTTCACAACACTGCCAGTTTCAACCACCCATTGCTGACACCCCTTTAAAAATACATACCTTGTCATTCTGCTCGTGATCCCTCATGTGGCGGTGAAACTGGGACTCTTTTGGAAAAGACAGCAGACAGATTTCACATTTATGGAAGTTTGGAACTTGATAGGCATAATTAGTGTTCTCCGCATTCAATGTTAAAACTCCATCTATAAAATTGCATAAGTATAGACAATAAATACCACTTGTTATTCTCATCACATAAATAAAATTATTTGGTTACTGTCTAGAAACCAAATTATGTCAAAACTTTATGAGAGATTTTAGATGAAATTAATGAAATCTTGAATTTTTTAAATGGACATGCTTTTAGGTTAGAAATGAGAAATGTTGAGATGACTGAGACACAGCACAACAGAATCCTAAATGCTTCTTAATAGGACTTGGAAAACCTAAACTCAGCTCCTGGGGCCTGACACGCACACAAATACAGGCAAAAGCCATAGTGTCCCACCCCGGCCTGCTGCTTCTCGTTGTTTCTAAGTCACTGCAGACCCTGGAGGCATTTCACCTCTAAGTCACTCTGGGAGTTATCAGGAACCAGGCAGGTTCCTAAATCACTCAGTACACAAACTCCAGTCAAAGCATAAAGGCTACTTCACTAACTCAGTCTACCTCTGAAACCTTCGGAAAAGCAGAATATGTCAACAAGAACAGAAGCTTTGCTCCCTCCGACAGTCATGGTTTCAGAAGGTAAGGGCTGCAACACTGTGGACAACCCTCAGGTCTCACAATGTGATTCTCTAAACCCAGTCGGGTGAAGGGCTATAAACTTAAAAGTATTTTCAAGTTGGAAAAACTATGGAATCATCATCGACATTTGCCAACAGTGTCATAGAATAAAGGTGTCTTAAATCTCTCCAATTCTTTAAAATAAGTAAATATACACCAAGTCTTATCATTTGAGCATCAATATGTAATACATATTAACTATATAAAGACTAGAAATAGGTGACATTAGCAAATAGGTCACATAGCAAACTTGACCCCAAAATATTAGACTTTAGAAATTTAGAAGCAGGGTAGGGGTAAGCTGAAGACTCAAGCAGGCTCAAGAAGGCCTTGTCTTTCTCAGGCATCCTGTGCTGACAGCATTCCACAGCTCCTCTGAGCAAACAGCCTGCAGTTCCAACTCTGGCCAGCGGCCCTCGGGCCTGCAGCCGCATCTGTGTTAGAGCCAGAGTTGAAATCCAGGGGACGGGAGGTGGGGCCAGGACTGGAGAGAGCTGGCAACAGTTTCAAAAATTCTGCTGGCAGGTTGGCCAGTAAAGCAAACTCTGAAACACTGATGTAATTAAAAAGGCTACAACGTCATTCATGAATGAGATGGGTCTACTACCTAATTTTTATTCTATTTGTTCTTAACTATATCCACATACTATTCCAAGACCATGCTTTCAAAATTCCTGTACTAAACTAATAATAAATGTTTTATGACTCCCCAAGCCCAGACTGAATGATTGTTGGACCATATCAACTTGTGGCCAGTGGTTCTCAACCTTGACCTTGACTGAAAGGTGGAGTCACCTGGGAGCCTTCCCCACAGGTTGGGGTGTAATACATGCAACAAGGTCCCCAGGTGATCCCTAATGTATTGCCAAGGGTGACAGTCACCACCAAGGCCTTGCCGTGATATTTCACATAAAGTTCTACAACTGAAGAGTGGTCTGAAAACAGCTAATTCCTTCAGCGCAGACCCTGTCTGTGTACAGGCACGGTACCAGACCCTGATATAGAATACCCCATAAAAACTGCCGAACTGACTTTATGTGACGAGGAATTATGGTTCAGTGTGGTTTCCCCAGACTAGTTTGTGTCATAGACTAAGATCTGGAAGCCAGGTTAATTTACTACTGGTTCCAAATTATGACATGTTTACATTTTAAGTGTCATGTAATCACACTTTCCTCAAAATTCTCAATGCTCTATGTTCCTGCCTGCCAAAGAAGTTCAATTACAGAGCATGAAGGACGCTCCTTTATGAAGAAATCTTTTCATCCTCAGATCCCCGACAGGGTTACAAAGTCATGATTTTAAGCAGAATCCCTCTCCCCTGAACAGTCCCCACCAATAGTGCCTAGTTTTGCTTTGCTGCTGAAACAAATGAGTCACCTTAAAACCTGAGGCTCCACATCTGCTGCTGCCTCCTAAAAAGTTCAAGTTCCACCCTTGTCAGCCCCTCCCAGTGGTCTCCTCTCCTCCAAGGGAACGGTGCAGAGTCCCTGAATTCAACCAAGAAGACCTGCCACAGCCTGACCTGGCAACTTGGGCAAGAAAGGGCTCGTTACCCATCTGGCTTACAGTCTGCCTGTCTCAGCTCTCTAACATGAAGTAGAACAAACATCTCTTCACCAGAAAACAGAAGCAGCAGGCAGCCAACTAAAGGTTTAAGCTCAGGAGGAAACTTCCATGCCATTCTACTGGAAAAAACAGATGAAAGCCATACAAGACCCTAGATGTGGTTTCCATCAAGGTCATGTTACTGGTTATGAAAACTAGAATAACTAAGATAGAGAAAAAAATCCCACCTTGCTGGTCTTTCTACTGCCAGGGTCACGCCAGGCACAGAGCAAGTGCTCCATAAACGCTCCCCAGTCAACTCAGAGGCGGCCCCGTCCTTACTCAGTCCCATCTAGCCACTACTTCACGAAGCATTTCGGAGTAGGCCCACTCCTAGTCATTTTGGGAGGTTCCTGTTGGACATCATTTTCTCCTGGCAGCCCAGGCTTCCCTGCTGCCACAGAACGTTCCCGCCTAAGGAGCCAAGGCGGATGCTGTGTCTCTGCCACTGAACTCTGCATCCCCAGCCCCCAGCAAGAGCCCATCAGTCACAGAAAATGCTTTAAAGTATTTGTTGAATAAATGAATCAACACAGACATAGGGCTTTATATTTATCAAGGCGGAGCGATGAAATGCATACTTGAGACTCAAATGTAGGTTCAGATCCCAACTCTGACACTCACTAGCTGGGAGGACCTCCCAAATCCCTCTCCCTCTCAGAGCCTCACCTCCCCTGGCTGTAAAAACCCCCACCTACTTTCCAGGGTTTTCTTAGAAATAAAATTCATAATGGGTAACAAAAAAATAATTACAGATTATGAGAAACATTACTAAAAGAGTAAACTGAGAGAATGATCCTCAAACATTTTGGTCTCAGGACCCCTTTACGTTCTTATATATTACTGAGCACCCAAGGGACCTCAAGTCTGCATAGGCTGTACCTATTGATATTTGCTCCATTAGAAATTAAAACTGAGCAATTTTAAAATATTCACTTAGAAATAAATCTATTACATTTAACATACATATTTTTATGAAAAACATACTCTCCAAGAAAGCAGTAAGAAGAGTTCTTACTTTTACAAGTCCTTTTAATGCTGTCTGAACGACAGGGGGACCCATGTCTGCTTCTGCACTCGCCCTGCCTCAACAGGCTGTTTGTGAGTGAAACGCATGAAGAGGAGGCCGCCGCTGTGCTAGGGCCTCATCGCTGTTGTATGATTAGTGCAAATGGAAACCAAGTAACAAAGCCACAGAGTCTTAGTATCACTGTGAAAACGCCTTCCTTGCACAGCCCTGAAAGTGTGGGGACTCGGGGGTCCCCGAAGCACACTCTGAGAACCACTGTGACAGAGAGTGACAGAAGAGGAACAGCTCAGGAAGCTGGAGTGCTGAGACCTACAGTGTGAGTGGGGGGCCGACAGCGCGGGGCAGCAAGGCCAGGCCCAGAAGCACTCAGGCACGACCACAGGGGCCTCGGTGCTGGAGCAGGACCAAGAAAGGAGAGCTGGGCCCGGAGGCCCGTGGAGTTCATGGTTGGGGGGGAGGAAACCATTCAAGTTTTAAGCAGGGGGTGGGCACCTGAATCACGCTGTAAAGGAAACCCTGAGGCTGACAGGTGGTGGTGACAAGACACAGGAGCAGCGCCCAGTCAGAAGGCTACTGCAGACCTGCAACTGGGGGCCCAGGACGGCCAGGCGGGAGGAGTAGGGCCCGGGAGAAATACACCTTTGCGGTGAAGCCACAGGCCTAGCTGTGAAAACCCGGCGACAGAGGCCAAGTGGAGCGGGGAAGGTGGGCAGTGGGCGGCCGTCCTGCGTCCTAAGCCTTCTTCCAAGTGACCCCACAGCGCCTGACACGGCCTCTGACAGGAAGCGTGTAACATGGCACAAAGAGCAGGAGACAGAGCAGGCCACCCGGGGAGGGCCTGTCCCAGCTCCTCGCAGACACCGCCACCCACTAATGACAACCAGGGCGGTTATGACCCAGGTAAGGCTGCCCACGTGGGCCGTGGACCCGGCCTAGGCGCCGGGGCGCATGAGGGTCGGCCCTGGCGGGAATGCTCGTGCCCTGGCCGTCGCGGCTTGTCCCTAACTTCCCGTCTCCGCCGCACCCGCTTCACTGCGGCCGCGGGAGCGCGTCGGCCAGGGCACCGACCGGCCGCACACCTGCACCTGTGCGCTGGGCTCTGCGCGCGCTCCAGCAGGGCAGGGGCCCTGAG